GGGTATTCATTAACCCAAATGTTCATTAATAGCAGAATGAATAAGTAAATGTATTCATATGATGTAATACTGCAGTGAAAATGAATGAAACTGCAGTTTCACACAAGAACATAATTGAATCTCAAACACAATGTTAAGCAGAAAAAGCTAGTTACTAAAGAATGCATACTATATGATTCCACTTATACACAATTCAAGAACAGGCAAAACTAAAATAACATATTTAGGGACCAAGGTGGTCAAATATTGAGAAGGAAGTGACTATCTTAAAGTCAGTTTACAGACATTTGGGAAAAAGAATGCGGTTGGCAAGCTTCTGGATAGTAGTTACAGGTTTGTTTTTTTATTTTTAAATAACAACTCATTAAGTTATACAATTGTGTTTTTAAGCACTTAACATTTTTTAGTTACTTCCTTATCTTCATAACAACATATTACACGGACTAGCAAATTAAAAGGATTGATGCCTTGGGACTCTTTGAATTGCCAATAATAGAAAACACAACACAAACTGGCTTAAGCAAAAGAATAATTTACTGGCTGATATAATTACAGAATAGGGGTAGATACGCAGGCTTAGATTAGGGCTCATACACTGTGACTGAGTCCTAGTTTCTTTTTATGTCTTGGGTTCTTTTACATGTTTTGGCATATTTTTAAGTTGGGTCTACCCTTTTGGATGCAAGATGGCTGCTTGTAGTCCCTGAAATTATAGGATTCCTTTTTTAGATCTAGCAGAAAAGAGAAAGTTTGCTCTCTCTCATAGTTCAGCTGAAAACCCTGGTGTTGAATCTTGCCCTGATTGTTAAGGCTTGACTTGGGTCAGCATTTTTTTCCTGGACTAATCACTAGGGGAGAGAGAATAAACTCAATCCATGCACGATCAATGACCAATAGACTACACAGCTAGAACCAAGGTGGTATTGGGGAGGCACCTAACAAATGTCTATGACAATATCCATTCTATTTCATTGAATATCATGCTTGAAAAGCAACACATAATGTTGTATTACTGCTCATTTCAGGCTTAATCAGAATCAAGACAAAGAAAATGGCTGGGTAGGATGGAGGTCCACCAGCTGATCTTAAATTTGAAAACAACAACAACATATATTTTTTCCTCCCTGCTTGATGTGAGAGATTGAAAAACAAACACTCAGGTTAATTAAAAACAAAGTTGGCTTTTAAGATGTAACAACTAAGGCAATGAGTGAAACTTGATTGGACCTTGGTTAGAGAAATGTTATCTGTAAAAGATCATTTAGGGAGAATGGTGAAAATTTGAATATTGGTTGGACAGTAAAAGGTTTAGCGAATTATAATTCATTTTCTGAGGTGTGGTGATGGTATTGGTAATATTGGAGAAAGCTCTTATTTTTAGAAAAGGAAGGCTAGAGTATTTAGGGCTGCCATGTGTTGTCTGTAACTTACTCTGAAATAGCTTAACAAATCACACACAGATCAAGCAGATATTCAAAACTTTAACAATCTTTGAATCTAGGTGTTTAGTATACGCGTGATGATTGCAATATTTTTTAACTTCCTCTGCATATTTGAAACACTTCCAAATGAAAATTTGGGTAAATAAAAAATGTTTTGGAAAAAATCTGAAATATCCAAACCATGCAAAACCTGGTTTGTTTCTATGTTGTTTTTTTTTTTTTTTTGCCTCTCCTATAGACTCAGATATAAATTAGACCCAGAAATGGTAGAAGAAGATACATTTATTTAACTATTGAACCAATATAAGTTCTATTGCTTTTCTAATTTTCCAGAAATGTTCTAAAATTGGTTGTGATGATGGTTGCACAACTCTGTAAATATACTAAAAACTACTGAATTGTGCATTTTAAAATAGATTTATTGTGTGGTATGTGGATTATATCTCAAAAAGAGTGAATCTCCGTTTACTCATGTTGACTAAGAAAACTGGTCACACAACACATAAGGACATTTTGGTTAATGACAAACTGCATATATCACTGCCCTTGTAATGTCACAGCAAAATGTATTACTACACTTGTCTACAGCATTCAGTACAGTAACATGCTGTACAGGCTTGTAACCTAGGAGCAATAGGCTATATACCATGTAGTAGTGTAGTAGGCCATATCATCTACATTTATGTGTATGCACTCCACGAGGTTCATACAACCAAATTGCCTAACAATGCGTTTTTCAGAATGTATCCTGTCGTAAGCCACTCATGACTGTAGTTTTCCTCTTAGAACTGCCTTTCAAAATCAAACCTTGGGGGTTGCTAGATTAAATGAGATTTTACATATCATTTAGACTTTTCTATTCAAGAAAATTTACTATTTTTGAGTTGGATAGAGAAAACCTCAATGTGCCCAGAAAATATTAGGAACTAATAAAATGCATGAATAAAGGAATATGCCTTCTCCATTCCCTGTATTTCCAATGTTTGCTAGCCAAGATCTTTGGGTTTTGGCCCCATTTCATGAAATCTGTTACATGAGATCTTATTTCTGGATCTAGAAGGTAGTAACTGTCCACCAGTTATCTGAAGATTTGCAACAACGGACGATTTCTGTGTGATTATTAGCAATAGTCAGTTTTATAAGGAATTCATAAAATAGCTTTTTGGAATATCAAGAGCTAATACGTATCTTCCAAACTTTGTGCTGACTTCCTCCTCAATGTTGAATACATTTAGTGAACAGGAAGATAACCTTTAGAATCCTGAATGGTTTGCCATTCTATAGTTATAAACATGCCACTCCTTTCTAGCACCCGAAGCTAATTCCGTTTATGACCAATCTGTGACATTTGGGTATTTCCTTAAACTTGGTTCCAGGTACTTACCATAAATTTTGCTCCTGACCTTTCCTGGTTTGGGTGCCTCTAGAAAGTACTTTACACTGCGATTGCTCTCTTTCTTTTGAACAGTCCTCTCTAGTACCTCATGTCTGTTTCTTCTTTTTTGTTTGATTTGGTTACCTGCTCCTGGCAATGTGCAGCTTTCCCAAAACTGGATCTGCAGCAATGTAATAGCAGTAAACCCTTTTATTACCAGAGTAATTTTCTTTACTTGTTTTGAACTTCAGCATTTACAGGCAGCTGCTATGAAATTCAAAAGGTGAAAAAAGACATGTGGTTTTTTTCCTTTTAGAAGCCCAGAGTCCTTACAGTAAGGGTTGCAGGGCTTTGAAGCCATTTTTTTTCCTCTTTAAAAAAGGAAAGATGAGAGTTAAGGTAGGCCCTTCCTTCATTTAAACAAAACACACCAATTGGGTAACAAAATTAAGGTAATGTTTTCCAGATTTTGCAATTCACACTAGAAGTATACATAAAAACAATTATAATTTAGCATTATGTAGATTTTGACTTTTTTGTATGTTTGTGGCTTTTTGTTTTCTTGAATGAGTCAGAAATAAAGTTGTTAAAACTGGGAGGAAACCAAGGGATGAGTCCTTGCTATCTTGGGCAGTTTCCTATTCCAGTCATTAGTCATGTGGTCTCTGTAATTTCTTACTAGGCTATATTAAGAGACTCATAAAATGCCCCCCCCCTGGAATGTAGCAAGCTTAATGATTATTCTAAAGTACTCTAAGGCACCAGGATGCAAGGTGCCCATGGTTATGAATACAAGTCCCAGAAATTTTAAAAACTTGATTTCCATAGAAAGCATACTAATGGAAGTTATTCTGAATTTGATTGACTGATATCTCCAGTAATTACATTTTTTAAATGCAGAACCTTTACACGTTTAGCAAGGTGCAAAGGTTGCTCAGAATTGGGTGGGGGGGGAGGTATCATTCAAAGTGCAGAGGTCAGAGACTTGAATTTCCAAGGCCCCCAACATAGGAATTTAGATTGAAGTACATTAATTTCTCGTGTAACATGCAGAAATTAAGGCTTCCAAATTTCAGGATGATCCAGTATAGTTGCAACATTTTACCTCCGGGCGTGTATCTTCTATGTAATAGGCACTGACAACATCAAAGGCTATACTGGTCGCTAGTAGCAACCGGCTCTCCAGGAACTAACCAAAGAAAATGCAGGGAACAGTGTAGAGTGGGTTTTTTTTTTTGTTTTTTTGGAGGGTGGTGGGCGGGGGTGCGGGGATTTGTCGAAGGTCTTGGTGAGGCAGTGCAGTAGAAAAACAGGGTTAACAGTCCTGCCAAGGCCAGGAAGATTAGCGACATCTTTGATCCGTTCTGTGCTCACACAACGTGTTTCAAGGTTTGTATTGTGGGGAAGTGGGGCACAGGTCCTGCTCTAAAAGTTGTGTTGACATTTAAATTAGGACAGTAATGTTGGTCAGTTCTAGAGACTCGGCAGAACTTTGACCTTGGGAAGGGGGTGTGTGTACTCTGATCTGTTCTGAACTTTCGACCAAAAGACAAGACAAACAAAATACGATTTAATTTCATACTACACTAACATTCTTTGATCAAGTTTTTAAAATTAAGGGGTCGCAATTTTTCAATTAAGGACGCTCAGTTAACAGTTTCAATTCATTTCTTCATTCATCCACTCACTTATTAAACAGAGGTTTGTTGAACTCCTGTTCTGCCCTAGTCATGGGGTTGACAGTCTAGTCCAATCACTGAGGGAGTTAAAAAACATTCTAGCATCATTGCTACTGCGGTTGCAATGGGTGAGGATCAGCCCCTTCAATTCTCCCACGTGGTCCCGGCAGGTGAGTGTGGGTGTGAGCGCGCGAGGCTCTTGATGTTTGGGCAGTGTGACAGCGCACGTGTCAGAATGGCGCGTGTCACAGTGCGCGGGCAGGTGTCGGCGTGGTATGCGTTTCCACAGCCCCCAGAACCTAGCCGTGTGGGCGGCGGGAGGCGCGTGTCCCCCACCCGTGTACCGGCGGCAGCGCTTTAACCACCAGACCCTTGCGATTGTGAGTGAGAGCGCGCGCGGGCGCGCGCGGGCGGTAGGCGGGGGAGGGGCGCGCCGCGCGCAGGCGCAGACCACTGGAGCCGGGCTGCGGCCGCTGCATAGTGCTGGGCGGCGGGAGGAGCGAGCACTGGAGCCATGGCCGCCGCTGATTGCTGAGGGGCTCGGACCGCGAGCGCATGCTGCCGCGGACGATGGTGACCGCACGGGTCGGACCGTTGCCGCCGCCGCTGCCGCCGCCTCCCAAAACTCAGCAACCAAGGCCCGGCGCGGAGGAGCCGCCGCTGTGAGCCCTGCCGTCCCGGCTGGTGCCCGCCGCCGCCGCAGCCCGAGAAGAACGGGAGGGCTGTCGAGAGAGCCGGGGAGTTGCGGAGCCCGCCAGCCCGCCGGCGGCACCCCGCCTCGCGGGCAGGGAGGCCGCAGCCCGAGGTGACCGAACCTTACGCCTCGGCTGGCCCCTTCCCATCCCAGCGCCCTCCGTCCACCGCTCGCATCCGCCCTCCCTCTTTCTCCCTTCCCCCATCCCGTCGCCGCGCCTTCCTCGTCTCTCCCTGCGCCCCTTCCCCCATTCACTTCCCTCTCCTTCCAGCTTCAGCGGCTTCCACGTCCCCTCTTGACCGGTAGCGCCCCCGCCCTCCCAACTGCCAGCCCCTCCCGCGGCCCTAAGGGCCCCTCATCGGCGCTCTCCGACCCTGCCGCCCCTCCCGGAGCCCGCTCCTCCAGCTCTCGGGCCCGGGCGGCCGCCCCCTACTTCCCCATCTCCCCACCCTCCTGGAGCTATCCCTCACCTCCCCCGGCATTCCTGAGTTGCCCTCGTGCTGTGCTTTCCCCCGTCGCCTCCCTAGCATCCCATTTCGAACCCTTTTATACGCCGCTTCCTAAGCTGCCCCTTTCCAGTTCCTTTGCTCTTGTTCCTACTTCCAACTTTCCCTCTTTTGCGTCTTTGTCCACTTTGCTCCCAAGCTTCCCTCCCTCTTTCCTCTCGCCTTACCCTTCTTTGGTATACTCAGCCCCCAAACTCAGTCTCCCCCTTTCTTGCGGCTTGAGGTTTTTGGGGGTTGCAGAAAGGCCTGCCAAGCCATTCTTCGAATGGGGACCCATTTGCTCTGCATCCCATTTGTCCTTTTCTTTTACAGAAGAGATCTCATCCCTTCCTTTTTGTCCCTGTCGCTTCCTCTCTCGCCTGCCATTCCTTTACATCCCCCTGCAGTTCTGCTTTCCCCTCCCACGGATCCCCAGACCCATGCCTTGCCTTAAGAAATGAGACCCTGCCTGTTCGGGGATAACTTCGCCAGCCTCTTTCTTTGGAAGCTTTCAGGTGTGGGGCGCGGCGGAGCCGGCACCCTTGGCAAGACAGGAGAGCTCCCTGGCACGGGCCTCTCCTGGCAGAGTTTTTGTGAACGTAATCCCCTACCCGGCGGCGGCGGCGGCGGCGGCCCCGCTATTGCCGCGCTGCTGCCTGCTTTGCAGCTAGCTCAGTTGGGGTTACTATAGTTCAAACGCGCCTGTGAGCCGCAGGCGTGGGGGCGGGGGAGGAGGTACGGCGGCGGAGGAAGGGGGCTTTGCAGTGCGAAGGCATCAAAGATTAATGGGTGGCTTTGCATCTCAGTCTACAGTAAACAGGAAACTAGAGTGAAAGGAAAGGAGAGTACTGTGTCTTTTTATTTTTTAAAATACGGAGTGTGCAGTTCTGAATCTTGAATCATGCCCAAAGGATGAGCTGTCGGCGCTGCAGTCGTGCCCCAAGCTGAGCGCTGAATGGCAGATGTAGCAGTTTTTATTTCCACTGCTTCTTAAGTTGAAAGATGGCTCTTCTCTTCAGAGTGGACTCTGTATCTTTGCCGTTTTGGAGATGACGAGAAACTACTGGACTGCTAGTAGTTTATTTGGAAATCAGGTACATGCAAAGTTAGCTAGCAATGAGTGGGAGTTGGGGAGGACCAGCTATATTTAAAACATGTGCCAATGCTTATGTAAGAGGTGCGTTCTCCTCCAGGGTATCAGTTTTTGGCTGAGTTTACTTACGATTTTAGGCTCTAGCTTTATCCTTTTACATTTTTTTAGAGCTTACCATCCTAAAATAGAAACATTTAGACAATCTGTCAGTTTTAAGATTGGTTTTAGCTGAGGGTAGAATTTTTTTTTAAGTGGATGTGACAAAGGAGATTGATGAATGATAGTTTGTTTTTCTTCTTTTGATGGAAAAAGATGTAGAAACTTTCAGCCTTAAATTACCTATTGTACTGAATAACTAAGTTGGTCATATGGCATTCTTATTTTTGCTTTGTCTTTTTAAAAGGGAATTTAGGAGACATAAATACTTTTCAGTTTTTGATCACATTATAGATCCAAATAAAGATCACATTCTTTTCCATTTCTATTTATTTACCATAATTCTTAAACTAAGATGAGCCATGACTTTAAAATTTTATGTTTTTTATATTGTTCATGATAACTTGTTTGCTTTCTTCATATTTGGAACCAGTGCACTGTTTTCAGGAAAGTGTAGAATCAGTCTTCCTGTGTTTCTTAACCCACAAATATGAATGGTGAACCACGAAACGTTATACTTGTACAGACATTACTGTGTTTGTACATAGCAATTACTGCTTCCAAGCCTGAGAAAGTCATTTAATGAAATCACCGTGGTCCTGTTTTTTTTTTTGTTTTTTGTTTTTTGTTTTTGGTAAGCATTTGTTGGACCTTTTTTGCCATTATTGGACAGAGACTTTTTTGGTTGGTTGGTTGAAGAGCTGTTTTACTGCCTAAAGCATGTTTAAATTTGAGCCACATTTAGTTTATGTTACTTGCTGAGGCATTGTGTTGGAGTATTATTTTTCCAGTATTTTTCATAGTTCAAGGAGGAAATGTTAAAATATTGCATTAAAAACTAAATATATGTAACTGAACTGGGCAGGAGGTAGCTTATATGCTTGGCCTTAGGAGTGTCAAGCCTTTAAATTGCCTTTAGCTCTCCTTATTTTTGAGGATTATTTGGTATTGTTTTTATTTTAAGAGAATTTTGAGCTCACTCTGACTTAGGATATGCTCATTAGATCTATCCGATAAATCTAAGGAAGAAGATAAATTAGGCTAAAACCAGACAAAATAGAGATCATAGAGGTATAATAATCTCTTTACTCCAGGAGAGAAGGCTCCATTTTTACTGCATACTTGTAATACAGTGATTTGGCAGATGTGAGTGATTTCAGGTATCTGCAAACAAGATAAATATTTCAACATTTTGCTTAGGTGTTGGTTTAGTATGTGGTGCTAGAGTGTAGTGTGTGGCATTTATTTGTGCTGGTCACCACCCTATCATGTGGCATTCCTGCTTTATAAAGATTCAACATTGGTAAGTTTTAAGGGAAATCTTTTTCTTGTTTCCTTCTACATCTTTTGTGGGTAATATTTTAGATTTGGTTTTCCATGGATTAATCTTGTTTCCTCCACATCCAGGTACATGGTCAGCTTGCCAGTTGCTTGCTAAAATATTCACATAAAAAAATAAACATTTAGTAAGCAATAGGTTTGTCCTTACATGGACATATTTCATTCTATAGGTCCTTCTAAATTTAGGTCCTTAATTGAGACGCTTGAGAATTGAGTTTTACTATGTGGAGTTTAGGGATCTGCCGTTTCAGATATTCTTCTGTATCAAGAGCTTGAGGGGTCCAAGATTTTGTTGTTGTATTTGTGAGACAGGAATAGAGGTAATTAAGAGGAAAATGTACCATTGTGTTAGTGGCATTCTTTTGTATTAGAGATGATTCTCTGTAAGAATGAGGGAGATTTTTTCCCCCAGCAGTTCAGGTAATTTCTAATGCAGGATTGGTTACTTGTTTAAACAAGTTTTTTTCCTTTCTTTCCTCCTTTAAGAGGTACAGTGAATGATGAAAGTAGACACATTTAAAAATAACAAAACATTAAAAACAGGAAGGCTCCAAATCAGATGAAGTAAATATGGACCACAAGTATTAACTCAGTAATATTCCCTGTTTTTTGTTGTTGATTACAAAAGGATTAGTAACTTATTTTGGATTTTAGAGTACAGAAAAATAGTTAAACTCCCAAGAGTACATTGAGTTACCAGTTTAACCACCAGAATAAGCTTTTACTTCCTCAAGTCATGTAGAAGGCACAAGCACATAAGTGCGTCTCCGTACCTCCCCAGATAACACATGGGCATTCTAAAACATTTGGCAAACAGGAAAAGGTAGAAAGAAGGGAATACAAATTGCCACAGCCCCACTGTTGGAAGAATGTTAATGTGACCATTTTGTTATACTTCTTCCCAGGCTTCCCCCTACCCCTTAAAATATGAGCTCTGAGAAATTAGGTTCCGGAATGATGTAATTTGCAATAAATGTTGATTAGAAATTTTATTTTTCAATGTATTTTCCTCCCTTAGGACACAGCTATTTGATTTTGATTCTCTCACAATATTTTTTTCTTATGTAGGAAAATTACTAAAGCAGTCTTGTTCATTTAAATTAATTAGAATTACAGTATTTATAAAATGTTAATTTTGTGTTATTGAAAAGATATATATATATAACATGGTGGGCAATAGGAACAATAATATGGTTAGCAACAATCAGGGAAATTAATCTGTTTTTCAGTGCTTGAAAAACACAATAATGGTGTGCCAAGTTGAACTGCCCCTTTTTTAAAAAACAATCTGAGCTAGCAAACGATGAAAATTAGAGGGTAAAATGGGAATACTGACAAATATTTAACCATAGCATAGAAGTCTGTCACTATAATTTTCTTTAGAAATAAATGTTTTCATTTGTCCTGTAATGCCTGAAATTATTGCCAAAGCTAGAAATGTGGTTAGCTTTCTCAGCAAAATTCTTAAAAGGATATTGTCAGAGCCAACAATCCAGAATTATCTTTACTCTTAAAATTGTTCTTCACCCACTTTTGTTTGCCCTATTCTCTTTCTTGCAATTCCTTGGCTTAATTTGCAGCTCAGGCATCTCTATATTCTAGTACTTATCAACAGCTCAGTAAAGACAGGCTGCAGATTCACAGTGCCTGACTTCTTTCATGTGCCAGCAAGTCTGTGTATATCATGGGAAGAATTTGAATTATTTTCCTACCTTGATGGGAATTTCAGGCTAAGGGTTTAATTTTCATGATTCAGAAACATGAATTTCTTTACATTCATGAAAGAAACAATATTGCAAATAGTGGTTTCTTTACATTTACATGTTACCAGCTCTCTGGATTTTCTTTATATTGTAAATTTAGTACTTCAGTTTTGATTGTAAGTGAAAAGTAGAAGGATAAACAATGAGATGCTGCAAATTACATCTGCAATTATCACATTTTTATTGACTAGCTTAGGTTTTTTGAAATATAATAAATACTTAATGTTTGCCCTGTTTTTAAAGAGTTACATAAACCTCAGATAATTTTGTGACAGTGAGTCTTTCAAGTTAATTGGATAAAAAGCTACTGTATTCTTTTAGGGTATTCTGTTGCTTAATGCCTAGGTTTGGAGTTGGGGGCTTTTCAGAGATAAGTTTTGAGACTTGAACATATAATCAGAATCTTAAGATTAGGCAGGACTGAGAGAGCCCATGTGAAAACACAATACAAAGCTTATTTTATAACTATCCAGAAGTAGTAGATGTGGCTAAGAAGTTTTATACATTGTAACACAGTTTTTATATAGAATGTGAAAACCCATTAGATTCATAAGAAGATATCTGAAAACTGTTGGAGGTGACTAGTTTTTTATATCTTGTGTTTCCTGAATTTCAGGTCTGTTCCAAGGAAAAACATGGCTGCAAAGGAGAAACTGGAGGCGGTGTTAAATGTGGCCCTGAGGGTGCCAAGCATCATGCTGTTGGATGTCCTGTACAGATGGGATGTCAGCTCCTTCTTCCAGCAGATCCAAAGAAGTAGCCTCAGTAACAACCCTCTTTTCCAGTATAAGTATTTGGCTCTTAATATGCATTATGTAGGTACGTACTTACATCAGCTTTTCTCCTCTTTTAGTGAGCCATGATGAATGTTTATGAATCTTGTTACAGTTTTACCATTGCATATGGATTATTGGGGATAGAGGAAAACAGACAGTGTGCATTTATTTTACTGGATGAAATTAGAAGGAAGAAAGAAACATTTTCAATTTTAATATGATAAAATATAAATAAAGAGAAATACCTTTCCAGACACTGAGCTTGTTCTAAAACGACATCGTTTTGGGTTTTGTTAGTAATTCAGAATGTTAGCTTCTTAAAATGCAATATTTTTCATTGTTCCAAAATCACATCAGTTGAAAATAAAGCATTCATTTCAGTTAAATGAAATGTGGGAAATGACATTGTAATATTTTCTTTAAAAATACTCCTTGAAATATGATTGATATGATTTGCAGTTAGTGGTAAAAGTAATGTAGAGAGGTTAAAGAAATTGAAGTCAAGAAATGTAGGCAGGAGTCCAGACCGCTGAGGCTCAGAGGGTTGAGCCCTGGCCTGCGAACTAAAAGGTCACAGTTTGATTCCTGGTCAAGGCACATGCTTGGGTTGCGGACCAGGTCTCTGGTTGGGGGTGTGCAAGAGGCAGCTGATCAATGTTTTGCTCCCTATTTCCCTCCCTTCCTCTTGCTCTAAAAAAGAAAAAAGAAAGGGGGTGGAGGGAGGAAGGGAGGGAGAAAGAGAGAAAGAAAGAAATGAAAGAAATGAAAGAAAGAACATTAAAATTAATCCACAATAAAAGTCACGATCCTTAATTTTTTGAGTTTACATGTAATGACAGCAACAATATATTTTATTTAACATTGCTATTGCATAACTCAAGACATGGTTTGAAATATATACTATAGTGGCTTTATTAATATTTTTATTAGAATCGCCCATTAAGAAGTGTATCTTTTATAAAATTGTGAAGGGTTGTCCTTTCTCTGTGAGATTTATTTATCTACATAGAAGGACTTCTTGGGTTCCAAAGCTTGGTGCTGAGAACCCCTTACAGCACTAAGATTGTACGTCCTTGCTGTAAGAGGTAAGGTCTAGTAGAAAAGATAGTACGTACTGAAAGCAGAACATCTGAGTGCAATAAACTCATCTCTCTCAGGTGGCACTACCTTGAGAAAGTCTGTGAAATGAGAAGTTTTTAATGCTGTGAAACACTATAATTCTCAGCCCATTATTAAAGGCTTTGTATGTTAGTCAATTTATGGAAAATAATTCCAGTCTGTTGTAGAAGAACAATTGAGTACTTGGCTTAGACGTTTAGCTTAAATCAGCAAAGTAATTTATACTGTGGTTTAAAAAGTATGCTTCTCGTATATACTATTTCTGAATATATTGAGATACCTATTATAGAAAGAGCTGCCTAAAAGCAGAAACATTAATTTAAAAATTGAACGTGTTCTAGTACAGTTGCCATTCATGCTTGCTGACATAACTTTGTGAACTTAACTCAGCCTCCTTAAATACACTTAGTATTAATACATGCGATGGTAGAGTAAATGTAGGGATCATAACTTTGTGAACTTAACTCACTCTCCTTAAATACACTTAGAATTAATACATGCTATGGTAGAATAAACTTAGTGATTACCTGAGTAGATAATTTCAGCTTGAATAGTTTTTTTGGTTGGAAAAACCTCTCTGTCAAAAGTGTTTATATAATGTTCTTGACTACAGAATTTCATCCTTAAACACATTTAAAAAATTCTTATTTTTTAAATTGGTAATTATTTATGTTCAGAAATCAAGCATACAAAGGATACAGTGAAAAGTATCTTCTGTATCTGTTCCTCATGCATTAAGTTCCCACTCTGAGCCCCCAAAATGCAGCTATTTTTATTTCCTTGTGTATAATTCTAGAGACATTATTATAGATATGTAAATAAGCATAAAGATATGTTGATATATAAGTGTAAATATGTAAGTTTAAATGTATGTATTTCCCTTTTTTGTACAGGTAACATGATACTATCTTGAATCTTTTGTTTATTTTAACTTAATGATATATCATAGAGCCATACCTACTGCTTTTAGATACTTATGAAATAAAGTTTTCTATTCTATTCTGCCAAATTGTTGAGGCCTCACTCTCCCCAATGCTGTATATAGTGGCATAGTGTTCTTAGATGGTTATACCATAGTTTATTGAGCTAATCAGTCCATTAGTGGACATTTCAGATAGCTCCTGTGTTCTATTTTATTAAGTATTGTACTAAATAATTTGGTATAGCCATAATTTCATCCGGTGCAAATATAGCCTTGGGATAAATTTCTGAATTTCTAAAGTGAAATTGCTGGATTACAGAGTATATACATTTGTAACATTGAGTGATACCGCCCTTTAGAGTTTGACTGTTTGGTATCTCCACAAACAGTGGTTGAGAACGCTTGCAGTCTTACCTTCTTTTCAAAACAGTGCTATATTTAGCTATTTCAGTAGGTGGAAAACAGGTGTTTTTTTTAAAATGTAGTTTTAATTTGTATTTCTCTTATGAGTGAGAGTTAATTTATTCACATTTAAGAAAAATGTGTATCTCCTCTTGGGTGAGTTGTCAGTTAATGTCCTTTGTCCACTTTTTCTATGGGATTGTTGGCCTTTTCTTACCAGTTTGTGGAAGTTTGTGGTATACATTAGGGAAATTTGCCCTATGAAATTATTCTTCCAGTTTCAGTTCTCTTGATTGTACTTGATTTTTTTTTGACACGCAGAATTTGTTTTTAATGTGGTTGAATTTATTGTTTCTTTTATAGCTTTAGGATTTTAAATCAGTTAGAAAAGCCTTTCCTATTCTTGAGTTTATAAAGAATTCTATCATGTTTTATTGTAGAATTTTTGTGGTAGAAATTTCACTGTAGAAATTTTTATTTTTTACAGTGAAATTTTCACTTTATTTGGAATTTATGTGCATATATATGTGTTAGAGGTATATATATTTTTTTCAGGTAACTGGTAGTGTCCATGTGTTTTTTAAGTAGTTTAATTAAACTTTTCTTGACTAAATATTATATACTAAATTATATATATAAAATACATGTTCTGTACTGCATACGAACATACTATATTATCACATATATTTTGTTGCACTTCTGAACTTTTTCTTGTCCTTTTAGTTTGTCTACCTTATTGAGGATTTAGATTATATTTACTCTCAATTTAATAGAGTTAGTTCCTTCACTGTTTTTTATTTCTCCCTCTAACTTTTTCTGTTTTTAGTTTTCTATATGACCTTTAGAATGATCTAATCTTTGTAGGTCAAATGATTTGTTTATAACACTCTCATTTTTGCATAAGTATTCATAATCTCTCAAAAATCTTCTTGGGTAACATATGTTGTTGTTATCACAGTTATTTTTCCACTGGAATATAAGGGGGGGGGGGTGTGGGTTAGCCATAGGGTTTTTTTGTTTTCTGACCTAACCTAAATGGATACCTAAAGGATTTGAGAATCATTAGTTCAGTCTAGATTCCTTATTGTTACACACAAAGCTTTATGTTGAGGCTTTAGCCACCAGTTCCATCAGCACCATCTCCTAATACCCTCCCAATATTCTTTCTAGACGACGAAATTCCAGTCTCAAAGTGCAGTATTCGTCATTGCAGAATTTACTGTCTTCTGAAAATATCCTTTGTTTTTATTGTTTTCATTCCTGTTATTCTCTTTTCCTAGAATGTTTTTCTATTCCTTAACCTGGTATAAAGATCCATTCACACTTTGAGGTCCAGATCGAACTTAATCAACCACAGCCCTTTTTTTAATGTTTGCTTATTACAGCACCAGTATTATGCTTTTGTCCATGTTTATACTTTCACTAGACTGTGAATACTTTATTCTTCTTTGGATCTTCCAGGTCTAGGAATACATATGGATCATGCTTTACATGTAATAATGTTGGTTGAGTGACTAGATGATTGAAAGAATGAATTAAATGAATATGTTCAATCTAGAGGATTTGGCAGCTGATTTTACAGTATATACAGGAGAAGCGAAAGATATACCTGCAGAGGAAATTGATAGTTCATTAAAAAACAGGAGATGTTTCTTGTAATAGACTGATTAGAAAAATTCTTGAGCCATAAACACTAAAAAGGCTTGCTAAAATAATAAACATCCTTTAAATACCTCTAAAGTCCTTTGAGATAGGGATTAACAAAATAAATTTGGGAAATTATTTTAAGAAATAAAGGAAATACTTAATCTCTGGCTTCTGCAGCATTGTCCTTGAAGTTATGACGTGTGTAAAATCTGAATTCTACCTCTTTAGTCCCTAGTTAGCACACCTCACTTTTCCTTAGCTTTAAGTATGGGTGAGTCAGCCTGAGGGGGGCGTTAGGTGCTAAAAAGGGATATATGTGCCCTAATAAAGACTCATTAATATAAGTGGAAAATAGTTATAGGAGAGTAGACTAAGACCAGATTTTGCAAGACCTGTAATATCAGTCTGAGATGTATAGAACGTGTAAAACTTTTAGAACAAGAGTTATCTACATGAAAGTGATGGTTTTGAGACTGTTACCCTGGTAATGCAATATAGAATGTATGAAGATGAAAAGAGACTGAAAAAATAGCAGTCAGTGAATTGTACTGTTACAGAGTGGCTGAGGATATGTGTAGGGACTGGAAAGGAGGGGACCATGTGACAGACTGAGGAAGACTCAGCAGGACTCTTAATAAGAGAAAAGATGACTCAGGTTTGAGTCAGCCGGAATGGGATTTAGGGGCGTGAAAGAGGATGACGTAGCTAGTTGAGGGAGGAAGGATGGAGCTCAGTTTGTACTTGTTGTATATGAGAACGTTTAACTGCAATATAACTCAGGCATCACGTGCTATGACATGTCTACTTAGAATAAGAAATGTTTTTTTACTTAAATGAAATGACGTTTTTTTTGATATGTAGTATGTTTTCAGTAACTTTTGAGTTGATCAAGGAGTTTGTATGGTTTTATCCATAAAATAAAAGACAAACTTTCATTTTTACCAATAACTTTATTGATTTAAATATTTTGGCTCTCTCCCCCATGGTAGAACATTTATTGTTCTCAGTTAATGTCTCTATTTGATACTATCAACTAAAATTGGTCTCTCTGACCATAGAACATCATTACCAAGAAATCTTCAGCACAGAACTTTGCAAACCAGTTCTCAACGCATTTGATCAGTCACAGCACCTTTTCCATACACTGCACAAATCTTCTTTTACATTTCAATTTCATTTTTACCTTTCTTGAAATAATAAAGCATAATATGCTGAAAATGTTATGTATTTTCTTGTATCTTCAATATTAAAATGGCTGGCTACACAAAAACAACAATTTTACAAGTTTTTTAAAAAATATGTGCTGATGTGACAGCTGTCACAATACAATCTAACAAAATTGTTTCAAATGAAGTTGAAGACACCAAAGCACTGCTGGAGCCACCTTATGGAAAAAAACCAAATGAACTTTCTGGTCAACCCAGTATTTGTTGATAACATACATCTGGAAAGGTATATTTGAAGCAACAAAGTAGATGACTGGAGCTACATATTTTATACAGAGAAAAGCAGTTGTTCAGAGACTAAATTTTCTGTGTTCATCTGAGAGGGTAAAAAGAAAGTGGAGGGGAAAAAATTAGAGGGTAGAAGGAAACTTACATCACAGAGCCAGAGAATAACAATTGGAGAGTAGTCACCTTAGATGCAGGGACAAAGATACACTGGCCGTCTTCTGTAGAGTGGAAGGGGTTGGTAGAGGGTTTGTAGATTGTAGAATGTGAAGAGGGAATAATAACACTGGTACAGATAGTTTATGACATTTGTCAGTGGAATGAGAAAAAGAGGCACTAGAAAAAGGAGAAGTTAGTGTGAAGAGAACTTTTCTTCAGGATTTGGGGGAGAGCCCTGTACATCGTTTGAAAGGAGAGGTAAGGACTGGAATCAGGGGAATTATTGAGATGTAGAAGATAGAGGTCTTTAGGACTCGGAAAAATAAGATATTGAATCGAATGGCAGGGGCAGCCTTGGAGGCTTCTTCCCTCGGAACAAGAGAACAGGAGCATTGGTATAGAGCAAGTGAGCAGGCACCAAGAAGGATAGATGAGGAGAGGAGACTGCTGTACCTTGGTGTGATGCATTCGGTTATAAAGTATTAACAGAAGCATTGACAGAAGAACTGAAAAATGCTTTAAATCTTCAACAAAAAAATTCTGAAGTGATTTTACTGTGTTGAACTTACTTTGGTAGTGAAGTATAAAAATCCTTTAAGTTGTTGAAACCCAATTGGAAAGTAATTTACTTCAAGCTCTTTTTATTGGTGTAATCAATTGGAAGACTAAATTAGAACCATATTTTATTTCTATCTCTCTTAATTTTTATTGCAGGTTATATTATAAGTGTTGTGCTACTAACCTTGCCCAGGCAGTACCTGGTTCAGCTTTACCTATATTTTTTGACTGCCCTGCTCCTCTATGCTGGCCATCAAATCTCCAGGTAAGAATGTGTCCCCATTTTTGAAATGTATGACTGAGTTTCAAATTTACTTTCACCAATAAACTAGTTTTTGTGAACACTGTCAGGAAGCCGAGGCTTTGGTAGGTATCCAAAACAGTTTTTTCGATACTTGTATTCTAAATAAATATTAGCATACAGGTTTAATAGCTGGCGATACACTTCAAATTTTATTTCTGTTCTTAAAAACAATTTTAATATGAAATGGGCCTTAAGATTATGTTTACAGTGATACCCGTGAACTTTTCTGTATTAACTGAGAAAACAATTTCCACAGACGGGCTAGTGGAACACTTTAACAATTACAGATTTCATTACTTTCTTGTCTTAGGAAGTCAGTTTATGATGCATGAGAATCGGCACAAGATGCAACCATGTATATAGTGGGTGATTGATATAAATTATTTGATGAGGTGAATTGGATAGCTCAGAACTTCTGCCTCCCTAGCAATAGTATGTGTTTGCCTAGGTCTGGTACTCCTAAATTTTAAAACTGGTCTGCCAATGAATATGAGCATCTTATTTGGACCAGAATGTTAAAATATAAGTGAACCAAAATCCACACAGTAATGGGGCAGAATAAATTTTGGAGTTATAATTTCTTCTGTTTTGATTGAAGTGTGTAGTTGTAGTAAGATATACTCCTAAATTGAAGAAGAGTGACAGTTACTTTGCATATATAACAAGATATAATTGTTTATAGGTCTGAAACACAGATTTTGGTGTAGGCTTGAAATCTAATCTTAGAAATAGCATTTTTTATGACTAGAATTCAATGGTTGACTTTTTAAAACCCATTTTATCCCCTGATTATAAAATATCGGTAATACTGTTCAATTTAGGAAATACAGAAAATTTAAAGGTAGTACTAATTACCTGAAATTATGTCACCCAGAGATAAACCTGTTAAAATTCTGGTATTTCCTTTCAGTTTTCACCACTTCATTGGATATGAAAAAGTGAAAGTAATTAATGGTTGCTGACTCTGGGCCCTTCTTGTTGAAGCAGGAAACGTTCCACTTTATCCTCCTTAATATTTTATCTAGTTATTTCTCAAATGCCCCTGAGTGTTTCCCAGAAACTCAGTCTTCTCACATTCCTGTCCTCTCTTCCTGTCTTGTTGATCTCTCTGCTCAGAGTGGACCTGGGGGGTGGTGACTTATTCTTGTCCTGCCCAGGGTATGTCCTCACATGTCCGAGTTGCAAAATCTGGAGCTGCCAAAGCAGTGCTGTATTTCTTGTAATCCTCACGGTGTTTCAAATCACGCTGTGCTTAACTCTCAAGTGCTGACGATGACTTCTCTAATCTGGAGTCACACAAGTATGTCCCTGCATCTTAGGCTCCTTCAGAGGAACAACTTGGGCCTTCTCCTGGAGCATTGTTCTCCATAGTTCCAAGGGCTGCACTGACACAGACAACATGCTGGCCCTCCTTCCTGGACACCCCTGAATCTCATAAAGCTCAAAGGAGAGACGCCTCCCTATCTTTTTATTTGTTTTTTTAAAACAGAAATTGTGTCTTTAGAGTATAATGGGGTTAGTTACCCTTCAAGGTGTAAATGAGTGCCTGGGGACCTAAGAGTGCCACATTTTTTGGATAAATGGATAGGTGACAAGATAGGTTCAAATCTCATGGTCCTTATTTACTAATCCATAACTGTAGTATCACTACAGAAAGGTAAGTCTCAGTTTTCCTTAGTTGTAAAATGGTAATAGTATCTTAAGGGCTATTGTAAATTGTTGGGTTTTGTGGGGTTTTTTTTTTTAAAGATTTTATGTATTTATTTTTAGAGAGAGGGGAAGGGAAGGAGAAGGAGAGGGAGAGAAACATCAATGTGTGGTTGCCTCTTGCATGCCCCCTACTGGGGTCCTGGCCTGCAACCCAGGCATGTGCCCTGACTGGTAATCAAACCGGTGACTCTTTGGTTCGCAGGCCAGCGCTTAATCCACCGGGCCACACCAGCCAGGGTATTGTAAAGTTTTAAAAAGATAAAGCACATAAAGCTCTTAGCCCAATTTCTGACATATAAGAAGTGCTCAGCGAATTTTTACTGACATTCTTTTGTCTTGTTTTTATTACACAGTAATGTGTTATGGGCATTTTCTATGTCATTAGTCTTTTAAGATGATTTTTTAAGTGGCAGAATGTTCCATGCTGTAGCTATATGTTAGCTTTTTAAAATTAATAGGATTTTGGAGATCAGTGAGAGAAGTCTCAAAGTTGAAGGTAGATTTAAATATTAAAATTAATGCTTTGCTAGTTACTATAATTCTAAGTGAAAAAACAATGAACCTGCCATTTCCCTCGTGGTTTTTCAGTTTTCGTGTGGTTTGTGGTATAGTGATAGCTGATACCATGTAGCTTTATTTTTATCTACACTATTACAATACATCCAGGCTTTTTGAAGGGAGGTCAAAATTCTGTCATGTAATGATAAAGGGTCATCAGTAAAGAAAAGCCTTTTTCTGATTATTCTTGTGGCAATTTCAACTTTTTAGTTTTGGTTTACGTAGGACTATATTTCCTGATCTTTAAAGTTTGTTTTCATTATTAGAAAATTCAGACTTATTTTAAACAATAAGATTTTAATAAAATTTTACAGTGTGCAAAATATTTTCTTTAATTCATTTCGATCCTTACTTTCCAGTATTTACAGATGAAAAACTGAAGTGGTCAAACAGCTAGAAGGGGGACAATCCCAGACTAACCTGACCTCAGGTTTTCTGATTCTTAGTTCAGTTCTCTTGCGGAGGCAGGATGGTTAGTGGACAGGAAACTAGTTTTAGAACCAGACTGGGGATGAAAGAGTTTTCCTCCCTAGTAAATAACATTACCTTGGCAGGTTGCTTCTTTGATGACTGCCCACCTTAATGGAGTTAGTTTTGATGTTAACAAATTTCAGGGTATGGCATATTTTAGTGTTGCTCCTCTTAGTATAATTTATACAGCATAGTGCTATCTCACAAAAGGTTAGCAAAGATGTGATCTTGAATTGCTCATAATGTCACATTTAATAAATATTGAGGCATGAATGTGTCACACATGTAAAATATTAAGGCTGAACATTTTAGTTTTTAAAAAAGCAATGGTTCAGATTTAATGTGGCAGATTTATAACCAAGTATCTTCTTAAATAACAGCTCTATTGAGATATAATTCACATACCTATTTAAAGTATACAGTGTCATGGGTTTTAGTACACACACAGAATTGCAAACCATCACCACAGTCGATTTTAGAACCTTTTTTTTAATCCTCCCCTGAGGATATGTTCATTGATTTGAGAGAGAGAGAGAGAGAGAGAAACAATAATATGAAAGAGAAATACTGATCAGTAGCCTCCCATATCTATCATCCCAACCAGGAATCAAGCCTTCAACCTAGGTATATGCCTGGACCACTTGCAACCTTCTGGTGTACAGGATGCTTCAACTAACTGAACCACCTGGCCAGGGTGATTTTAGAAAGTTTTCGTCACTCTATAAAAAATACCCAGTACCCAATAGTCACTTCCCCTAACCCCCAGTCCTAGTCAGCTGTGTTTTCTATCCCTATGGATTGGCCTATTCTGAACATTTCATATAGATTGAATTGTACAGTATGTGGGTTCTTTGTGCCTGGCTTTTTTCACTTAGCATGTGTTCAGTGTTCATCCATGGTGTAGCATGTATCATTTTATTTTTCTGTCCAAATCATACTCTGTGTTTGGAATATACCACAGTTTGTTTATTTTTTCATTAATGGATATTTCACTATTATGAACAATGATGTAAAAACATTCATGGTTTTTGTGTGGACATATTTTTTTTCATTGGCATATATCTTGGAGTGGAATTTCTAAATCATCTAATATTTATATTTAACCTTTTGAGGAACTGCAGACTCTTTTTAAATTGGCTACACTATTTTATGCTTCTACCAGTAGCATATGAGGGTTGCAGTTTTTCCATACCCTTGCCAACACTTGCTGATGCCTGTCTTTTCTTAGTATAGCTATCATAGTGAATATAAAGGGATATTTCATTCTAGTTTTAATTTGCATTTTCTTGATGGCTAATGAGGTTGATCATCTTTTTGTGTGAATCTCCTTTGGAGAAATGTTTATTCAGATCCATTTGTCCATTATTTAATTGAGTTGTCTTTTTAAAAATTGAGTTGTAGAAATTTTTTACATATTTAGAACAAGTCCCTTATTTGCTATATTTTCCACCATTAGTCTAGTTATAACCAGGCAGACAGAGTCTCAGAGTGACTGAGAAGAAGAGTCACACTACTTGGATAATTTAAATAATTAATTTGATACTTCAAAAACTGAATATAGAAAAAGACATTTCCAAATATTTCTTATATTGAAAACTTCATAAACTTTTGAAAAGTTGGATGTTTTTCTCCAAAATACATGTATTCACATGATCAAGCTGATTATCCTTAAGTGAATTTTTAAAAAAACCAAAAAACCTATTTAGAATATGTCTATAGAATTGATATAGCTTGCAGTTCTGAAGAAGTAAACATCAGAAAATCCATGGGCTCAGGTGCTGTAGTATAGACATTTAATATTAATATTCTAATTGAACTCATTAGAATTATGCTTTTAATTTTGAGTGATGCATGGCGTGTATTTTCCAGTACCAATCCTACTTTAAAATTGAGACTATCTAGAACTAAGGGGGGGAAAAAAGAAAACTTCAATTGACCTGACCATTTTTAAACTCTAGTATTCTTAAATTTCTTGTTTTATTGTTAGGTTTTTGAACCAACCATCCATTTTATATATGTATGGCTTGAATTAAGAGCTTACGGGTTTCAAAAGATGAAAGTATACTTTTTTCCATTGGGTATATAAGTATGGTTTCAAATGTAAAACTTCCCCAAGAGTTATTTATGTGTATACAGGTAATTAGCTCCACATTTTATGAAAGCTTATATAATTCTAACCTGTAGATGAGCGTTTCTTTGTTTGGGGATACCTAGCATTTTGA